TTGTCCCAACCATTCTTGCTGACCTGAGGTATCCTCACAGTTTACCTCCTAACAAGCAGCTACACTTGTGGGATCATTTGCAGCCAGGTAGGTATACTGCTCAGTCACTAAGCAGCCCGGGCCTCACAGGCTGTCTCTGTTTCCAAGCACAATATCCAGAGCGTGTGGAGAGGATGGGTGGCCTTTCCAGAGTAATGTTATGGGGGAAGGGGAGTCAAAGCCAGTACAGTGGACTAAGATAGGAAAGAACGTTAAGACTGAAAGATCTTAGAAGACAGGGTGAGATTTGGTGTCCTTACACGTCACTGAAACAGTCATCCAGGATCTTGCCACCCAGATTTTTGCCTCAGGGTTCCTGACAAAGAAGCTTATGTGAAAAGAACAGGGTGCAAGAGAAAAGCATACTGCCATGAAGCTAAGAACTCAAGTCAGAATTTGAGGTGATAAACCTCATATTGATGAAATGGCCCATGATAATCCTGTCATTGCCCCAATTTAAAGTACTTGGCACCTGTTTTTGCTTTAACAGCAACGTATCAGGTCCTATAACCCTTTGTTAGTCAGTGGTTTTGGTGTCCTGAGTTAATTCTTCAATCTTTTTCTCAAGAACATTGACAAATCCTGTTATTTAAAAAGGAAGAGCAGGGAGAAAAAGAACATTGGCCAATCCATCACCACTAGTCCGGCTGGCCACAGGAACCATGCACTTCTGTTCCTTTTTCTCTTTCTTTCAGTCTCGAAAATCTTTTGGCTCAATTGCATATTATTTCTTTAGGTTTGCTAACATATGTCATCTCTTTTCCATTTTGATTGTACTTAGTGTAAGTGATGATCAGGGCACATACAATATTTCAGTAAGTTAAACGTGGGTGTATGGAAGGCTTTCTTTGCAACATTTGATATTATCTGGGTAAACCCTGGGCAATGCAGGGCGATTTGGTATAAACTGGAATAGACGTACAGAGAGCTAAGGAAGGCTTCTGACTCTCAAAAAGGCTGAACACAGCGGGGACTCTTGCCTACTTAATGATCTAGCCAAATGATGGAGACAGAAGAAAATGAGCAGCCTGCCTCCAAGGAGCAAGTCCAGCTAGGATTTGCTCTGGGAAATAGATGAATGAGAAAGTATACTCATACGGATCCTGAAAAACCAAATGTACCCCTAATATAATATTGCCTGCTTAATATCCTAATATCCTTGGTTCTGAACAGCAGATTAGCAAACCCTTTAACCCCAAGAAGGGGCAGAAAGGAAGGTAAGGTATGCAGAGAGGAGAAGGGATTGGAAACATGAGAACAAGGACAAAAACGTATGGAGAAGGATAAACAAGCCTCTCTCCTCCTAAGTCCCCAGTTACAAACCCATTGTCCTATAGTTACAAAATGAATCCAAAGTTTACAATGAAAGACACCACCAAAAGAAGAAGGCCTCCTATAATCAATTTTTCAAAGAAAAGTTTCTAGGACTCATAAATTAAAATCCTAAAAACAAACAAACAAACACAAAAACCCCTAAATTCCAAAACACTCGGCTCTGCAGTTTCATCTTCTGCTCATCTTGTCCAAGCCATTCAGATACCAGTTGGATTCTATTTAACTTTTATTGTGAATGAACTTAAGCCATCCTGCACTTGGGTAATTATAGGTCCTTGCAGCTCCAAAACTGTAAGATATCCCATTGCTTTTCACCCACAGCATTTTGTATGTTCCATTTTCCACAGAACAAAAAGGATAATTGCTCATAGAAGAATATTACAAAAATATCTCTATAGCTTACTTCAGAAAATTTGCCTTGAGCAAAAACATTTAATGAGCAAAAACAATGTTCCCTCACTATTACTGCCAGCCACTGTGGTAGGAAATGGAAAAAAGAAAAACAAAAAAAGAAAGGGAAAAATTATTGTTTTCAACTTGGATTATCAATTTCTACCAGATGTCCGCAGTTTACAAACTGTGAGCAAAAATCAACTAGAAGAACTCCTTTAAGAGGTTAATAGTGATTTTATGCTGTATCTCTATATTCCCTCTCAGAAACTAGAATGTGAAGCTTTCTGTCTTCCTTAAAATTTTATAAATATTGCCCATGGTTTACTTAAGGAATTCTTCCCATTAGCTTATGAGGAACCTACGACTTTCCATTTTCTTTTTTGCTCATTAAAAACATGTTCCTAGCATCACAGTATTAAATGGACTATGACTTCTTTCATGGTATTTTTTTTAAGCAGGGCACCCTTATTTGTAATAGGGAAGTCTACCAACTTTAGCCTTCATCCAAGTTTTCTGCTCTAAAGGACATATTTCTTTTTCCCCAGCAGGACCCCAAATCTTTTAGTCCTGTACAATAGTCCCCCCTTATCCAGTTTTGCTTTCCATGGTTTCCATTACCAAAGGTCACCCACTGTCCAGAAGCATTGATCCTCCTTCTGATGCCTGTCAGAAGGTCAATAGTAGCCTAACGCTATGTCACACATTCACCTCAATTCATCTCATCACATAGGCATTTTATCATCTCACATCATCACAAGGAGGGTGAGTATAGGACAATAGGTTATTTTGAGATAGAGAGAAATACCATATTCACATAACTTATTATGATATATTGTTATAATTGTTCTATGTTAGTATTATTATTGTTAATCTCTTATTATACATAATTTATAAATTAAACTTTATCATAGGTATGCACATATAGGAGAAAACATAACATATACAGATCTTCCTGGACTTACAATGCAGTTACATCCCAATAAACCTATCATAAGCTGAAAATGCATTTCATACACCTAACCTACTGAACATCAGAGCTTAGCCTGGCCAACCTTACACACACACACACACACACACACACACACACATATATATGTATATATACTGTGTGTATATTATTATGCTCACAGGCATAATATATACACAGTATAGTGCATAGATCTTCTTTCTATAGCTTGATAACATTTTACATATGAATAATACCTCCCAGATAAACCTAAAGGATATTTCTGTCCGCTTATTCTTGAATTGAACTCCTGATGTTTTGGTAGCAAAATCTATGTCCCCTTATTAAAGTGGGGAATGTTACAACCCTTCTACAAGCTCTCTACTTTTCCCAAGCATGCTTTTTTCTAGCTTATGGATTTTTCAAGCAGTGAGTAAATTGCACTATTTCAAGAGCAGCCGAAATATCTCTGTATTCCAACTCTTCTCCTGAAGAAGTGGACTAGGTTTCCAGTGTTCCATTTTTTTTTAATGTGCCTCTATTTTTCTCTCAAGCCTATCTAACTTAGTTGTTTTAATTGCATTTCCAACTTGAACATTCTTTCTTATGTTATTGGTCATCTGGATTTACTGTTGTATGAAGTGTCCAATCATTTACCTATGTTTTTTTGGGTTTTCTCTTTACTTATTGATTTAAGAGAGTTCTTCCTGACTTCCAGATACGAGCCTTTCTCAAAGACTTGCATCACAACTATCTTCACTTTTTGGTTTTGCCGTTAGAACTTTGGTGTCTTGTCAATTGCTGTTTTTATGATTTCCTATCATACCATTGGGGGCACCTTTCAATAATTTCTGAAACCAACTATTACTGGGAACATGATTCCACTTTGTTCTGTAAGATTTTGCTTTTCATTCTCTATTAAATCAATCCTGACCTATTAACAATAGAGTCTCTCTTTTTTAAGTCTATCTTTAAAGGCCAGTAGGTATAAGTACAAAGCTGTTTGTCTCCATCATATCTGTTCAGTCTTGCTTCAAAGTTCCCCAGCTTTTGTCCTGAGGGAGTTTTCTCTTCTTGGTTTAACTATGCAGCAAGCCTCAAATCTTAAGTGTCTTAAGAGAATACGTTTTTTGTTTTGTTTTTGTTTGTTTGTTTCCCCCTCATAGATAGAAAGTGCACTGGGGGTCTGAACGCTTCTGTGTCCCCGGTGCAGTCACTCAATAATTCCGGCTGCTTCGATCTTATGACTCTATCAGCCAAACCCAAGGCCTCTACATTTGCCCAAAGAATCACACAGGACTTTATGTGTAGAAATGGCCTGATCCTTGCACTCATGTTCATTGCCTGGAATCAGTCACACGGCTCTGGCCACCCACACGGGCCGAGCAGTCAGTTTTCCTCATTCCTGGGGGAGAGCGAGAGGAGGGATTCTGTGAGCGGGCAGCGTTGTCTCCACCGTAGCAGGACTGCCTTCTTTTCATTCCTTGCTCTTCTCAAATTTTCGAGCAAACCTGATTCATACAGCCAAGGTCGTCCAAATGCAAATTTTTAAAATGTCCTGGATGCCTCTGGTTTTAAAATTATTTTCTTTAACAGCCAGTGCTCCGCTGCAATACCAAGAGGCGCTCCACCTCCCTCACCGTATAGAAAGCTTACTGCTACTGAGTAAGATAGGCTGATTCGGCTCTCACGGGGGAAAAGAAAAGGAAACGAAACCAAAAAACTAAAAAAGCTGAAACAAAGGTCCCTCTGCTCTATAAGCCAGCTGTGTTCTATCTGCAGTGTAATATATGAACATCGCATATAATTTTTTAAATTAAATTTCATAGTAGCATCATGAAGAATTAATGATTGATGGAAGAAATAACCTGAGAATTGTGCCAATGACAGTTGTTCATTCTGGAATACAAAGAGTGCAGAATCTAGGTATTTCTGTGTCATACAGAAGAACAAATATATGTGAGTCAGCATGAGGGACTATCACATTTTAAGTCAGAGAATAGGCCACAATGGGGTCTGTGGTTTTGCATTATTCCTTCACATTTTTTATGCCAACTGTCTTCATTCAGAGAGGGTCTATATCTTCCAAGAAATAAGATTTTAGACCTTTAGATTAAGTAGTTCTTTCTTTAAAAAACAACAACAAATACTGGGGAGCTCAACATATCTAATTTAAATGGAGGTATTGTCCTCAATAATGGTCATTTGCTCTCAAAATTCTAGAAGCAACCCATTTTGTTAATCAGCAAAAATGTTCACAGTCCCCTTACTTTCTATTTTCTTGTAGGAAGACTGTGGTGGTTGGCTCTGAAGGTACTCTCAGAAGCTCTGAGCAGCCTAAGCATAAGGTGATGGAAATGCAAGATGAACTTGGCTACTTAACTCTTCTACATAGGGGCACAAGTCTAACGCAGACCATCAACCCAGAGAAGTCTGAATGCCATCGTGCTCTTTAAGAATGTTCCTCTCTCAGTTAGGAATACCAGACAGCTTTGAGTGTCTGGTGGTAGTTTTCTTGTTCTTCCACCTAGGATTATTGACTCGTGTACTTTACCTTTTATGACATGCTTTTATCCCTCTTGCCAATTTCAACAACCTCGGGAAATCTGAACGAGGAGCCTTTTCTAGATCCTGAGATGGAAAACTTTTACAGTGAGGAGACATTGCACAGCACGTCATGAAGAATAAGGCTATCAATAGTGAATAATCCATGACAGTAAAATACTAAAGATGATAACAGTATGCCTTTATCTCCCTTCTCTCGTGCTTTGGGACACGATGCTACTCAACTCGGTGTTCATAACTGACAACATTTCACACCTCTTTTTTTTCTGTGTATATACCAATTCCCAAAGGGCTGGGGAGACTATTTTTAAATGAAAGACAGAGGAAAGTTAATAAGACTTTGTATTCAAGGGAGCACTCAGGTAAGGCAAGGCCCCCAAAGTTGTCAATAGTAACACCTATTTGAAATTTTCCTTGATACATATGACACATAGAAAGGATGCATTCTTGGGAGTTGAGACCCAGGCTTTTCTTCTGATTCTTCTCCCATAATGAAGCAATAAGAATGTGGAAAAGTCATTCCAACACTCTGGGCCTTCTTCATTTTCTCCATCTTAAACTTAAAGATTTTGGAGGAAAATATTCTCTAATAATTAACCTCATCATTTTCTGGTAAAATTTGGATTTATAAAGTTGATGAAAAATCTAGATTTCAAAGAAGAAAATGAAAGAGTATATTTGATGGGAGATACTGGTTTTAATTATGTCATAGGATATGTATTCATGTACATTAATCAGAAACAATATTGTTTTACAAACACAACACAAAAGGTAGAAGTCAATTTGGAAGACACGTTTGAGTGTCCTGGAATAAAGCATGGTGTTTTTTCTCAACTTTCTACCACTAGATGGAGCCCTTGAGGTAGTAGCGTTTCAAGAGATGGAACTTTCAGGATTCAGATTTGAAATGGAATTTTTCTGAAAAATCCGTGGGAATCAAGGTTAGCATTAGGCTTAGGATTAAAGTTAGTTATTGACTACAATATGCCAGATAAATACTTTTTATGTGTAATCTTATATAATTCTCACAAAAATGTTATAAGTAGTTACTATTATTTCTTTTACAGACAATGAGGATGGGTTTAGAAAGATTAACTGGTTTGCCCAAGTTCACAACTAAAAAGTGATGAAGACAGATTTTTCAAGCCACATCTGACTTCAGAGAACAAAATTAACACCTCTGCTCTATTCCTTAGACCCAAAGGAAAGTTTTCCTTTTTAGGTGTATTCTTTCAAACATTTTCCTAGTGTCCATTACCATCTTTATTTTTGTAATTTTTCATAGACAATTGATAAAATAGCAATTTCTATCTTTAGAAACTCTGTTCGGAGTCCCAGTATGTGAGATAAGCATGTCTTTGGAGAGCATTTAGTTCAACTTTTCAGTTAATGCCCAAGATCAGGAAGAGTAAGTAGAGGAACCGAATAGTGAGTTCACAGAAATCACTGGATTTCATGTTTTATGTTGGTGTAAGATAACAGCTTAAAAAAAAAATCCCTGATTTCCTTTCATGGAGGCCAGTTTGTCTTAAATTCCCTTCCAACACGCTGTTGGAGGTGCTATTCCCCCACCAAATGACTCTCTGGACCCTCCCCACAACTTCCAACTCTCCACTTCCAACATTTTTGCTAAGGGAATTTCATGTCAGAAACCTTATCTTCACTTTTCACCAAATTTCTGTGAGCTAAATTAACTCTAAATTAGATACAGTAAATGAACGTGGGTGTCTCCTTTATAGACTTGCCCTGGCAGTAAGTAGCGATTTCTTTTGCTCTCCTGACAAACCAGGAAGTTCTTCCTAAATCCTCCCCCAAAGTTGTTCCTGTATCATCAATTACATTTGTATTTTCTTAATCTTTCATTATTTGTCATTCTCATCACAGTTAAGGAAGACAGCAGAAGCCGTATTATCAAGTGACCGTTTTAATAACATAGGAATACAATGAAATCAGTGATAAATCATACAGAGGAAGTGTTCTGCTGGAAGCAACCCACCAGGTAAGACTGGAGGCCCGTCCTGTGTAGCAGCAATACTAGTATTGTTCTTTACAAACTACGCAAGTGGTGAGAACCCCCAGGTTTCTCTGAAAGAAGGGAGAGGATAACTCCTACTTAAAGATGCTTTCCTTCTTCCTTTTAGCTATCCTGCTGACTTTGAACACAGCACAGCAAAAAGCTCAAGACCAAGAGCGTCAAGTCTGTTATGATGACAGGTATGGCAAAGTGGTGATGGGCGGGCATGTTAGCAACTAGAATGTCGGTCTTCAGTCATCCTTTTGCTTCCTTTTTTCCTCGAATAAACAGGGAACAAGAGGTGGCAGAATTAGATTAACATAGCAACAAAAGAGCAACTCACCAGGAACAATTCACTCGGCAGATAATTTGTTGTATCATGATTTCATTTCACAGGTGTTCTTTAGGTCTAATGATCTTTCTATCAGTCACTTAGGATGTCAATCATCCTAATCACTAGTCCAGATTAACAACCAGTAGAGATGAATATTTCTAAAGTTTCTCTTATCCCCTCCCAAGAGTTGTGCCCCGTTACTCTAGTTATATGGTGTTGAAATTTTAAGGAGCCATTTGGTTTATTTTAATAGTATTTCTAATAGGTAATTAAATTAATCAAAAGACCATTTCTTACTGATATACTTGTCCTTCCTTGTGGTCAATAAAAATAAGCTCTTACAATCTTATATAATTAATTTGGTCAAAGAGTTGTTTTTAAAATAAAAATTTTAAAATATGGTATTCTTCAATCTATTAACTTGAAATTAACGATGTGTCCAAAAGATATGTGATGTGGCTTGTTGTCCTCGAGAAGCAGACAATCTCCATGGGAGAGTAAGGCTTGAATACACTTAGTACGATGTTATATATAAGAAGTACTTAATTCAACATTTAACTACCATACTATATGATATAAATAAGTGATACACATCTTTCTGGGCCTGGAGTACTAAGATAATTATTAAGTTGTTAGAATAAAATAAAAAATTATTGAAAAGGGTCAGATGAAATGAGCGAAAAGGGAGACTACTTGATGGAACAACCCTTCCATAAGAAGGTCTGCAGCCATTCAGTGCATGTGCTACCAGAATGAATATGCAAATAATAGCACTTGCAAGAAGATAGATAGTAACTATTGTAGTGTATTATGTAAACTTCTCTGTCCTTATGAATCCCATTATTTTAAAGTCATCCACTTTTTAACACAGAAACAGTATAGCAATTGTTTATCCTACTTTACAACTTAAACTCAGCTGTCATTACAAAGTTTTCAACTAAATTTTAAAAGTGTATATTTAAGTGTTGTAAGTCATTTTTTGATTCTTATTACTTCACCTCCTATTCCTTTTTGTAGGAATTGTGTTGTCTACTTGGCCTTATATTTTGTTTTCATGTCAAGCATCACTCAAAGCAAAACTTAAAATAGGAAGCTGTAAGGACAAAATAAAAGGGCCCTGAAGATTGTTGCAATTGGTTTCTGGGAATACAATAATGTACAAAGCAGATACTATATACAAAGCAGATACTATAGAAGCTGCACTCACAGAGACCACAGTGTGGCATCCTAGCTTCATGCATAACATAATAAAACTCCATCTAGAAGCACAATCCCGATGCAATACAAACTGCCTCAAAATTATTGTAGGTTCTTCCCTCCAAGGAAGTCATCATGAGAAAACAAGGTTGCACATTATGTTTAGTTGTATAAATTGGATTTCCCCTGGCTCGTATCTAGTTATATCCTTCCCTTGGCTACTGCCTTTTGCCCCTAGCCAAACTTTCCCTTATCTAGAAAGAACACCTAATCCTAGGCATGTATCAGCTCTCTCTTTAACTGCCAAACAAATATCCTTCATTTGCAGAATCCGCTTTGTAATTACTCATCAACAGATAGCATTCTGATTTCCAGAACCATCTATCTAAATTAGCTTTCAGTGAGCCACAGACTGAGTCAGTATTTGACACTTTTGTTCATTCTCTCGGGAACTCCTATCTGTTCTGGTTTGGTTACATTATTCTCTTTTAACTTTGTTCTTGCTGTTAGTTTGTTTCTATTTAATGTTTTTCTAGTTCTTCCTCGGCCTCTCCTTCATATGGTTGCATCCTACAGAGTTTTAGAACCAAAGGTCCATCAGCTAGTGACTAGTCTTGAAAGGAAAGGAGCGACACACAGCAGCAATTCACCGGAGAATTCTGCTTTATTAGGGAAAGGTGCTGGGTTATATAGGAAGGGGCATGAATTGATTGAGGTGTCACTTCTACGGGGCTGGTGGCTGTTGGCTAGGTGCTGGGATTGGGAGGGGGGCGAGAGGTGATTGGGCTTCAGGTGGCGCCGGCGGGAACCGAGGACCCCCCCCCCAAGAGAAGCCGGAAGTTTGCTATTTTACTGGTGGGGGCCCTTCAAGTCTTATGTACAGAAGCCTAGAGGATGTATTTTATCAATCCTTTACTTCAAGTTTAGGGGACAGGGGACATAATCTAATCAATACTGATTTCATAAGAAAATGGGGTTTGGGGAGTGAATATCTCTTCCCCAGGTTCCCTCCAAGGTTTATGGTTTTCATCCCTGAGGCTCAGAGCATGAGATGCAGGGGCAGAGAGCCCCCGAATCCTCTTTCTCAGGCCCAGCCTCAGCCGCTGTCTTTTTATTGCTTCACCCAGCCTCCTCTTGTCTCTTGTGTGTGATCTCTGTGAGGGCCTGGACTGTCATTTTCTGCTTTTTCAGATTCTGCTGTTGTATGCGGCGGGGGGGAAGCGGGGGTGGAGGTGAGGAGGGATCGTACAAGAGAGGTGGGGAAGGAAGACAACTGGAGGCGCTGTATTGCTTTAGGTCAGATGCTTTAGAAGCCAAGCCTGCAACAGGAATGTTTTCAAAATATTTACTGAGAACTTCTCCTGGGGCTGGGGTGGGTGAGGGAAGCAGGGCAGGCAGGGAATAAAGCTAAGCAGGAATGTGGTCTCACATGGAGACCAGCTTAGTCTGACCCCACAGAGAAAGCTCTGGAGTCAGTCTTGCACCCCAGAGGGCCAGCCTTTTGCACCCCCGTCTGCGAGTTGCCGCTGAAGGAGACTGCTTGGAGGAGGGGGCAGCCGGTACTTAAGAGTGGGGGCTCGCCCTGGTCAGTGGAGGGGATCAGGACAGAGCTCCCGCAGCATTCACCGCCCGTTGCCTTCAGACAGAGGGTCTGAGAGTAATCATACTTTTTCACTACAAAATTTAGCCTTTGTTAATATTCTCGGGCTAGTCAAGTATCCATCTTTGTCCCGGTACTGAGTCACATTAAACAGGCTCCTTTCAAGGATGGAAAACAAAAAGCAACTCTACATGGGAGCAACCTGGCAAATGTCACCTTAACCACGTGGCCAAATTCACATCCTCAAAGACGTGTTACCATGCACCCACCCATCCACCCCCGCCCCATATGCTGTAAGCAGAGGGGCACTTCACCCCTGTAGTGTTCTTTCCAAATACTCACACTCTAGTCAAGCCAAAGAAAGCATCAGACAAACAAAAACTGAGGGGCATTCTATGAAATACCTGCCCTGTACTCTCTGAAACAGCCAGATCATGAACGACAAGGAGACACGGAGGAAATCCCACGGATTAGAGTTTAGCAGGTGACAGCTCCGTGTAGTTCTCCCTCTTGTCTTGGACTCTGGAACAGGACGTGAACGTTAGTGGAGAATTCTTCTGATTAGTGGAGCAATCTAGAAAAATCAGGGTAAGTCTGCGTTTAAGGTAAGAGTATGATGCCAATGTTAATTTCTGAGTTTTGCATAACTGTTTTGTTATGCAAGATGTAAACACAGAAGCTAAGTGAAGAGTGTGCAGGCATGCTCTGTACTATCTTTGCAACTATTCTGAAATCTAAATTTATTCCAAAATTAAAAGCTTTCTAAAACCCTATTCTATTTTCTTTTCAGAGGTATGACATTGGGACTCTGATGAAGAAAAATCTGCCATATTATACAGTATGAAAACATGGATGAAATAATATTCCTTATGGACAATGAAAAATCAGCAATGTAATAAGAATCATAACTTTTGTGCTATATATTCAGTGAATTACTAGAATTGAGATGGGTGAAAAAAAATCTTGCAATATGTACGTACAATGCTTTCATAAAATAGCATTGTAAACTACTCCCAAACTTTAAAATCCTCCAAGACTATTACTCTCCCTGTCAAAGGTAAATAAAGGTTATAAGGGAAAATGGAAAGTGAGCTTTGATTTAAAACTTGGTTGATTCTATAATTCTATTTTTCTTTCTTTCTCCGTTAGAAAGTCAATTCCTACTACCAAATAAGTTTTATTTAATTTTTAATTTTCTGTATTTTTTTTCTTTGGTCCTGCGTTCCTGTTCTAAGGCATAATGATCAAAAGGGAATACCCTTTTCATATGCTGAATTTTGTTTGACATTAGAAAGTGTCAAAATACATAGAATCATTGTGACAGTTTAGCATGCCTCCTGGAAGTCATTAACTATTGACGATCTTTACTTCCTCTTAGTCCTGGTGAAAGTTTGATCAATGTTTCTTGAATGGCAGTAAATGTGAATAGACAAGATGTCAGTATGCAAATACTTCAGAAAACAACTCCTTTGTAGACTAGTGTTTATATAACCAGGATGAAAGAATCAGTCTCGGGTTTGCAAAGAACTTTTAGGGATCTCCTTTCCTAATTTAATTATTCTCTTTAACAATTCTATTATATGTATATAATTTACTAATTTATCCTTTTTAATATTTATCTTACCCACTTCATGAAGGAAAGGACTTTTGCTTTTTTCTGTTCACTGCTGTAATGCCTGTGCTAACAACTCTGGCACATTCAGTAAGCACTCAATAAATGTTAATAAACAACTGAACAAATGAACTAAATGCACCTGCATTTGTTGATCATCCACAGTTTAGATTTCCTGTACCATAGTTCAAATAAGCCCACAGCTGAACAGTCCTGGTGATTTAAAAAAATGTATACACGTACAAAAGTATTTTGTTAATCCTATGTAGAACTGCAGTAAGGTTCTATTAACACAAGTTAAAACATCTTTCCCTAGTGTGAGTAATCTCTTGTCTCCAATTTATTTCAAGTATGTATTCCAAATATACACATATATTCTAAATACTCTGAACATACATTTTCCAAATATATGTATAGATATCCATACATATGTCATATATCATATATCAAATACATATAAAGTATTGCAGTAACCAGGTTGGAGCTGGTCTAACAGCCAGTTTATAATTATGTATGAACTTAAATATACTTGTGTAGTGCTATACAGTATTTCGAAGACATGATTTAAGGAAATGAGCTAACAGAAGAGCATAATTAAGGAGACCATGGACTTATCTTTGATTAAATTCCTTGCAGAAGTACACAGAAGGTAAAAAAGTCTTACAGTCCCTCTTTTCTTTTATGATGAAAAGCCCGGTATGGGTTCTGGTACCCAATCTTTTGAGGCAAGCCAACACTGACAGTCAAACCATTTTGACCCCATGCTGGCAAATTCCACTCTAAGCGACTATCTAATCTTTCCATAGATTGTTCTGAGGATCCTTGTACAAAAGAGTGACTGAAAAGGTGTTATGAAAAGCTGCCGTAGCTCCAGGTCTGGCCTGAGGTGCACACACCCTCTCACCGCAACTTTGTCATTTTCTGTCCATGTGCACCACCTAAGGCGTAAGTAAGTATCGGGCAGATGACCCTGTCATCAGTTCTTTAACCCCCCCATCTTAAAATACCGTCCATGTTTTTTGTTTTGTATTCTTCTAAGCCAGACTTGGATTTTGTATCCCATTACAATTAAAATATAGAATTTATAGTTAGAATGGTCTAGAATTTGGACCACATTTTCCACGATGTATAAAAAGCATACCGTCTCAGACATTCTATGTACACTCTACCTGATTTCACTCATTCATTCATTCAAGTAACATTTATTGAAAGCCCACAATATGCCAGGCACTGAGAATACAGTCATGGACAGGGCAGATACAACTGATGCAGTTGATGATTTGAGCAATGTTCTTTATCTTTTACTACATAACCAGGATGTTTGTGTTCTCCTTAATGTTCTCTACAGTTCCTCTTCTTTTTCTAAGGCAGCAAAAATCAACTCTTGGCTGATTGTTTCCTTCTCTGTTTTTTCCCCTCTAGATATTGGGTGGAGAAATAAACATATCATTTAAAATAATAATAATAATGACAAGAAGAAGAAGAAGGTATCATCGAACTTTCTAAAAATGACTCATCTCTACAAAAATATTACCCATTCAAGTGTTCTTAAAATCCACAGGTAATTAATTCACAACAACATGGATGGAGCTAGAGGGTATTATGCTCAGTGAAATAAGCCAGGCCGAGAAAGACAAGTACCAAATGATTTCACTCATATGTGGAGTATAAGAACAAAAGAAAACTGAAGGAACAAAACAGCAGCAGAAGCACAGAACCCAAGAATGGACTAATAGTTACCAAAGGGAAAGGGACTGGGGAGGACAGGTGGGAAGGGAGGGATAAGGGTGGTAAAAAAAAAAGGGGGCATTACGATTAACATGTATAGTGTGGGGGGGCACAGGGAGGGCTGTGCAACACAGAGAAGACAAGTAGTGATTTTACAACATCTTACTATGTTGATGGACAGTGACTGTGAACAGGGAAGTGGGGGGGACTTGGTGAAGGGGGGAGCCTAGCAAATAATGTCCTTCATGTAATTGTAGATTAATGATACCAAAATAAAATTTTAAAAAAATCCACAGGTAATTAAATGCTCAGTGTCATCTATATTTGAGCCCTGTGTCCAATTTGTGGTTTTAATTATTTTTCAGTTCTAAGGGTACTGGGAGTAACTGGATTGCAAAGCATGTGGTTTCTGCTGTCCAGATGGATATCCTTTGGACCAGTAAGGCATCCTCGAAGTTTCTGTAGAATATGAAAACTATGAAGTGTAGGGACACTTTCAGAAAAAACATATCTCGATTATAATGCCTGTAGATTATTCTGAAAGTGCACAGGCTGTCCAGGTTCTTTGTTTCTGTTTTGCCTTGTGATGTACTCGGTGTTATTGTCAACTGTCATCTTATATTGATCTAATCTTTCTGTGTTTGCTTTGGGAGATAGACGGAAGAAACCTGAGACCCACTGGCATTTATTAATTTGCTTGGGTCAAAGCACATAATAGATTTGTGAGATCCATGACAGTCATCACTTATGATGTCAACTTTGGTGTGACCAACTTCCCAATTGTATAATCTGAAATTAATTAATTTAAGAAATATTGCACCTATTTTGCACAGGCATGCTCTGTAATATGGCATGACAAAAGGAATTCAGAGAATAAAGATCTCTGGTATAAGCTATAGCTGACTCTTCTGACAAATATTCTCATCTGTTTTATATTTCACCCAATGGAGGAAAGAATGAACTCTAGAAAGATGCAAATGAAATGGCACATAAATACCTGTTTCTCATATGCTTTTTCAAGGAAAACTTCTTTCAATTCTAAAATGCTCTGTGGTTAGTAGGAGAGTTATAAGTATTTCCTAGATAAGAAAACAGAAGAAAAAAGAAAAAGAAAATTGTGTTTACAGAACATTAGTGGCCACAGTTTCATATAGCCCTGCATTGTGCTATGTATGCACAAGACTTGTATCCAATGTACTTTTGCAGAGTGGCAATTTTGATTGTGCTGAACTGAGTCCATGAGGAAAGAGATCCTTGTGTTCCTATAGCACTGAAGTGAAAGTTGAGTTTCCAATGGAGGCTAACCCTGCTTCTAGGCTCCAGTTGGCCCTGGTCATGGTGGCCCTTAGACACCTTGAATTCTTTTTGAGTGTGTGTGTCATTAATATAAAATCACATGAGCAACATTGTGGTTACTAGATTCCCCCCATTATCAAGTGTCCACAGCATACCCCATTACAGTCATTGTCCATCAGCGTAGTGAGATGTTACGGAGTCACTACTTGTCTTCTCTGTGCTATACTGCCTTCCCTGTGCCCCCACACACATTATGTGTGCTAATGGTAATGCCCCATTTTCCCCTTCTCCCTCCCTTCCCACCCACCTTCCCCAGTCCCTTTCCCTTTGGTAACTGTTAGTCCATTCTTGGGTTCTGTGAGTCTGCTGCTCTTTAGTTCCTTCAGTGTTTTCTTTGTTCTTATGCCCTACAGATGAGTGAAATCAATGGGTACTTGTCTTTCTCTGCCTGGCTTATTTCACTGAGCATAACACCCTCTAGCTCCATCCATGTTGTTGCAAATGGTAGGATTTGTGTTCTTCTTATGGCTGAATAATATTCCATTGTGTATATGTACTACCTCTTCTTTATCCATTTATCTACTGATGGACACTTAGGTTGCATCCATATCTTGGCTATTATAATAGTGCTGTAATAAACATAGGGGTGCATATGTCTTTTTGAAACTGGGATCCTGAATTCTTAGGGTAAATTCTTAGGAGTGGAATTCCTGGGTCAAATGGTATTTCTATTTTTAGTTTTTTGAGGAACCTCCATACTGCTTTCCACAATGGTTGAACTAATTTACATTCCCACCAGCAGTGTAGGAGGGTTCCCCTTTCTCTGCATCCTTGCTAGCATTTGTTGTTCCTAGTCTTTCCTATGTTGGCCATCCTAACTGGTGTGTGGTGATATCTCATTGTGGTTTTAATTTGCATTTCCCTGATAATTAGCCATGTGGAGCATCTTTTCATGTGCCTGTTGGCCATCTGAATTTCTTCTTTGGAGAAATGTCTGTTCATATCCTCCGCCCATTTTTTAATTGGGTTATTTGCTTTTTGGGTGTTGAGGTGTGTGAGTTCTTATATATTTTGGATGTTAACCCCTTGTCAGCTATATAATTTACAAATATATTCTCCCATACTGTAGGATGCCTTTTTGTTCTGCTGATGGTGTCCTTTGCTGTACAGAAGCTTTTTAGCATGATGTAGTCCCATTTGCTCATTGATACCTTGAATTTTGAGGGGCAGATTGATAATAATGCCAGGTGAAAGTTTAAATTAGTTTATTTATCAATTTAAAACATGAAAAAAAATCGTATTTATTTTGAATACGACAAATAATACATCAATTCATTCTCAGTGTAAAAATATTTTTAAAAATCGCTGATAAAGTAAAAATGCCTCTGATTTACCCAGAAGGAACTGCTGTAATCTATTTGATTTATCACCTACACAGGCCCTTTTTGTGTGTGCAATCATGTTTATGAACACTTGTAAATATATAGTGTTTTGTATACTTACTTGGACACACAGTGTATATCAAAGTTTAAGAATCGCTTTACACCTTCAATTTCTCAAGTCCCAGTATGTTTTGGAGACAATCCCATGTTGATTTATACAGAACTGCGTCGTTTTTTAAGACTGCTATTTAGGATTTCACCTTATGGACAAATGATGATGAATTCTAACATTCCTCTACTGGAAGCCACACACATTGCTGTAATATTTTCCTGCCACAAATAAGTTTAGTGAATATCATTGCATATACCTGTTTTACTTTTATTTAGGAAGGGGTAAGGCCACCAGCTCAGGAGATGATTGCTATTGAAAGATAGTTTGTTATTCTCACAGATCCCAAGAGAAGGAGGCACGCCTCATTATGGGTGGCCACACGCAGAAGCATAGAGTGGGTTAAGAGGGGGTCGGGGTGGGGCTGTAGGTAAGATCCTTTACTGTGGCTTAAGCAAGAAAGAGTGGGTGTTGCAGGGTAAGCAGCTTTAGGATTGGCTATTTTAAATAATTTTAAGGGGCTTTGGGGCATAGGAATTGTCCCTGATACTGTGGGACCTGACTTTAGGCTTGATTAGGGCAGGTGGATAGGGGTACTGAGTGTGAGAGCCCAATAAAGGTGTTGATGGGGTGTGGAGTCTGGATTGGTTTGCATTTGAAAAGCACACTCACAAGGCAAGCTGTTTACTTTCTTGAGGAATTTGCATCCTGGGAAGGGCAGTCCATCTGGGGCCAGCAAGTTCCCAGAATTTGAGCACCAGTACTCAGAAAATAAAAGACGCGTACTATTGAAATACCCTTCGCATTGTCTCCCTGTGCAAGTTTCTAAAGAACAGCGCAAAAGAAAACACAGTAAAGTTTTTCTATGTTGATCATATTAAAGAAATACCTAATAATGACTTTGAAATTTTATGCATAAGATTAAGTTAGCAAAGGAATTAGATAATCTCCATATTTGAAAACAGGATTGAATCTAAAGAGTGAATAAAGTAGGACCTTCCTCCCCAAACAAGGAGATGAAATGTAATCTCTAAAGTGCTGGAGATTAATGTGTTTTGAGATTTCTAACATTCTTATCAATCAGCCAGGGAAGAGGGTCAGACAGAAACCAAGTCCATATAGGCAAGGGAGCAGATTCATTTTAGCCAACTGGGTGAACTTGTATTTCCAGATGCATGGTATTCAAAGAGTAGATGGTTTTAGATGTTAAGTCACTGACTGAATCCACTGGAATGACTTTAAAATATGTAATATCTCCTTTCTCTCCGTGGTGCTTGAAGGGACCCCACCAGTAAGATGGCAAACTTCCGGCTTCTCTTCGGGGGTCCTCGGTTCCCGCCGGCGCCACCTGAAGCCCAATCACCTCTCGCCCCCCTCCCAATCCCAGCACCTAGCCAACAGCCACCAGCCCCGTAGAAGTGACACCTCAATCAATTCATGCCCCTTCCTATATAACCCAGCACCTTTCCCTAATAAAGCGGAACTCTCCGGTGAATTGCTGCTATGTGTCGCTCCTTTCCTTTCATTGGTGCCGAAACCCGGGAGACGGGACACCCCAACTGGGCCCCGTCTTCCCCCGACACCAGCAGCAGCTTGCCCTCGTCCTCTTTTTCCGGCGCTGGCTCATCACACTCACCACTCCTCTCTGGCCTTTAGGTAAGTTTTCCCCCCGGAGTGGGCCACTCTTCCCCGAGCTATCGCAGTGCCATTGACCGTGATCGTCCGGCAAGGCCCTGACGCTCGGGGATGAGGAGGGAACTCTCCCCGCCTCAGGCCTTCACGGCTGCGGCGGACCCTCAGGCCCCTCCCCAAACAGCCATAAATCCCCGCCTCAAGCCTTTACGGCTGCGGCGGACGCTCAGGCCCCTCCTCCGACAGTCATAAATCCCCGCCTCAGGCCTTCACGGCTGCGGCTGACTCTCAGGCACCCCCCTCCAACAGCCATAAACGAGGTGACTCCTTTGTGGATGAGAACGCTCCCTTTTCCCCCCCTCCTCCTTCTGCTCCGTCCGCCGAAAACGCCTAGCGCTAGGTACCTCGTGACTCCGGCACTCTGCCTTCTTAGGGAAGTCTGGGTGACGACCCACACTTCCCAAGAAATTCCGACTCGTATACGAGTTTCCGCAGA